ATTGGGGGGGGGGGGGCGTTCGACAAATAATATGCTTTGTTGCCATCTTGTGGCAGCCTTCTGCCAAGGACCTATGTAGAAATTAATTGAAGGGCATCATTTACACTAAAGTATTTCTTTCCACTACCTTGTGGCATCCTGGTGCCATAAGAACAATACTAAATTGAAGAACTATATATATATATATATATATATATATATATATCTCGTCTCTATAATAAGCCGCTCTCGCACAACTCTAATTGCCCCACGGGGATAAATAAAGTTTTCTGAATCTGAATCTGAACTGTGACAGAAAACAGTGTCTTGTCAGCATTTTGAGGCAAATTTAGGTGATTTTAAACGTTCCATTGGGCCAAGTAGTGTTACTCGTACTGTACAAGACTGTGGTTTACTAGTATGGTTTAACCGTGTACCAGTAGACCAATAGTGGTTGTAGTAGAAGGGGAAAAAAAAGATTAAAACACAGTCACTCTTGTAGTGTGCCACAGTCGTTCTACCGGTGCACTAAATTGTTTTACGAGTGGCGACAATGAGTGTACCTGTACATGTACAGTACCTTAATCTGGATGTGAAGGACACAGAATAAATGCTCAAGCGACTGTCCCCGGGCACACGTGTGTTTCTTGTGACTCCCGTCGCCCGTTTTCTACTCCCTGACAGACTAACGGCCTCACTCCCAGGTTGCTAATATGTTGTAATCCGCCTCAATCGCGCTCACCTGCTCTCCGGCTGCATTTTGAGGGGGGGGGGGGCGGCTGTGGGCGGTCTTAACGTGCGGCGCGGTGCCGAAAAACATGGCCAGCGTTGGTTTTACGTTGACTGCCTGATAATTGAATGAGCGATTATCCCTCCCATTAATAGACAATGATACACGCAGCAGAGCCATATGTCGGGAATATTAATGAGAGGCTGCAGTGGCCTTGATAAGAGGAGCGCTGTGCGCTTGCTGTAATAGGGGTTACAACAATTTGCCCTCCACACACACACACACACACACGCACACACAAATACAGTTTCCGCCATACTAATCCACAGCGGTCTCCGCCTGGCATTAAACATGCCCCCCCCAACCCCTTCACTACTCATTCCTTCCCAGCCTGCACTTTCACGGCGACGCCGAACTGCCAAGGTTGAGGCGCCTTTGTCTCCTCACGGCAGAATGATGTGGAACATTGCTGTTTTGTGTACAATAAGCGCCCTTCCGTTGACGGAGTTACATTCCAGACTACCCTCTGCAATTATTGAAATCCGTGCTATACAATTTTCCAATTTAAATCCTGTACTCCGGAGGAATGTTTGAATAACATTTACGATACTTTTTAAAGGTCTTTCAACACACTTTTAATAACAATAATACAAAAACGTTTAAAAAAATTATATATTGAGAGAAGGCAAGAGCAACAGATAAGACACAAATATTGTACAAAGAGCGTCACAGTGTACCAGTACTGTACCATATTTTTTTTCAAACTAAAAAAAATTATCATGTCATCGCTTTCTGAAGGTGTAAATTGCAGAATTATAGATTATTTAACGTTGAATGACGTTTAAACAAAACATAAGATGATCTTGAAATGTTACTTCCTGTTTTCATTCCTCTTTTGAATTTAACAGAAAATGTGTGCTGCCATGTCGTGGCTCAAAGTGGAAATACACACACACAAAAAAAAAAAAAATACCCAAAAAAATCTGCGAAATGGCAATACAGCGAACCTGGAACCCATGGAGGAGTGGGGTTTACTTGTATGCGGTTGAGCCCCCATTAAAAATTATTTAATAGTTGTAGTTTTTACTGTATGCACAGTAGTGATGTGGTATAACTCATGGCTGAAAAATGGTCAAGTTACACTGGTATCTCAAAACAAAAAAAATAAAAATACAAGGCATTACTGGACTGGTCTGTAGATGAAACTCCTCAACTCACCTCGACATTGCTCCTTGATACCAAGATGGCAGCAAAGGCCTACGCATGCCTCAATGAAACTCCTCAACTCACTTCATGCATAGCTCCATCACACCCAAGATAGTGGAAACGCTCTATCGTCGTGCCTTGGAAACCGATGTGAATTGACGCAAGTCTAAAATGTAGTCATAGTACAACTTTTGGACACGGCGAGTTATTAAGATCCTTTGCACCCCCCCACCCCCGACTCCTTCTTTACTTTGGAGTTTTCTCTCCGAGTCAGACAGCTTTATCGTGCTGGGGTCCCCACGAATAGTTTGAAGCGGAAGCAAAGATACGGGAGTAGTGGAGGCGGGCGCGAGTGTCACGCTTGCCTGTGCGACAACAGCCCCTCCAAGTCCATCACATTTCCTCAAAGGTGACAGCGAGTCGCGGTGGGGGTGAAAGAGTTTCTGAAGAACAGGCCACGCCAATCAATCCCTAACATCTGTTCTCAATGGGAAGCAATATTTCTCCTTTTACCTCACGATAATTGCGCTTAATGCCGTGAAGTACCTTATCATGAGGCCGACGGCAAAAGACAGGCCTGTTGCCGTGGCGACGCCGAAAGCCATTGGTTTCCTTTTCAGCCGGATAATGAACTTCCCTCCTCGCCGTGTCACTCCCTGCACTCCGGCATCGCATTCAACCGAGCTCCGAGCGTCCTTGAGATGCCTCATCTCATCCGCCTCAACCCCGAACAGGGGAGGACAAATAAATAAATAAAAAAGAGAGGGGGGGGTGGGGGGATGTTCAATAAATGCATCACTTAGGGCCAAGGTGAAGGTTTTTCACTATCATTACAGTGTCATTTTTAGTAATACGATTACCTGATTTCTAAGGAAAATATGCAATTAAAAGAACTGCTTCATTAAAAAAGTGTGCTCTAAAAAAATGCTCTAATACAACTTGAACAAATAAAAACATTATGTTATCTTTGTTCCAGCTGTCAGAATAATCTTGACAATCATACATAATTAAAATGATCTATGAAAAAAATTATCATCCCTCTCTCCCCCCCATGTCGTACCTCTAATTTGATTTTTGTGAAACCACCAAGCCTGAGGAAAATCTACCAATCAGATACAGAGGGCAGCCGTACACTTGCATGCACATTAATGGCCAGTCACTGGCACCAACCCGAGGCCTAGCGCTGACCTGTTGCCTTGTCTTACCATAAAATGGAGTGCTTCAATAACAATTAAGGCCATCACTGTGAAGTTAATTTTTTTTGTAAGTGTTTGTCCGGGAAGGCGCAAAAAAATGATTGACACCCTGTAAGTTGTCTCTGACTGGTTCTTTTGTTTTGGTTTTGGAGCGCAGAGTTTTCTTCCACAGACTTACTTACTTTTTTCCCCATTTCTGACGCATAAAGAAATGTGAAAATGCATCTTGAAGGTCCTACTACTACTCAATGGACTTAAAGCCGATGGAAATGTATTTTGCTGTGAATACATGGCGAGACGAGGCTATTTGCGCTGAATAGACGTCTGGCACGTGCTCCCCACAGCCAATTTATTTTCTCATACTTGTGGAAGGACACAAAATGGAAACATGTTTTTTTTTTTTCTACCGCAAATGTCACGAATCAAGTTTTTGATCATAATAGTCCATGTCCTTGAGTGCAGAAATCTGAGAACATCACATCCTTTTCTTACTGCCATCTGCAGAATAATAATATTTAAAAATATTAGCACTAAAAACCAATGTGATTTCAAAACTAAGCCTGAAAGGAAAATGATAATTAAAGAGCCATTTTCACATTTTTCTCGCATTCATCAGTTCATGCGCTGCTGATGCGTGGTTACACATCTACAATGTAATCTAAAACCATTCAAATCCCCTTGTCATAGCCGAGGAACAAGTAATTGATTTTGAATATTATCATGATTATGATTATTAATAACAATAAAAAAGAACATTAAAAAAAGAAATAGAAAATAAAAAAGGAACAAACAAACCAAAACACGACATCCTACATTTAAATTCAAACTCAATTTTTTTAAAACAGCGTACAATAGTGAAACCATCAAAAAAAAAAAGAGGTTATAATTCATATAGCATTTCATCACTACACCACCAGGGGGTGGAGCTGAGCTGTTATTGCAGTGAATTTTCACACAAGTGGAGTGACAGTGTAAAAGGGAATTCAAGCAAACAAGATATTGGAGTACATTTGTCCAAACTATATCAAATTCCGTTTTTGGATCATCAATTCTTGGGAAAATATCTTCGGACATGTTCCGTCTGATGTCTCAGTTCAAAGTTGGAGTGAAAAAAAATAGAAAAGTTGACAAAAGTAGTCGTTTACAACATTTGAGATAGTCTCAATCACTGTCTGTCAGAGTTGTTGTTTTTTTTTGTTTTATGCTTTTGCTGCATATACTAACGCCAGTTACTGTTGTTAGTATAAAATATTACATGTCTATATTTTACCCTTCAAGTTCCAGTTCGTTTGCACAATGTGCAGGTTGTGAAACAATACTGTATCATTTATATAACCTATTCGCAAATACATTCGAATCCTACAAATTGAGCATTTTCCCATAATGCCACGGGCTATTGACTGGACCATGCGTGAGTTAAAAAAAAAAAAAAAAGCTGTTTTGTTTTTTTTGTTGTTGGTTTTTTTTTTTTTTTTTTTTTTTTAGCATTTGGCCTATATTACACCAGCATTCACATTAAATAAATACACATTGCTCATTTGGTATTTTATGGTCGTATTATGTCGGCAGTGCATTGTTTACGTTCGCCATTTTTCCCATAACTCCACGAGCATTTGACTTCGGTCTTCGAATACCCCGGGACATTATGGGGGGAAAAACAAAATTATTATTTTTTTATTTTACCAATAGATTTTTAAATTAAGGAAGTCAACATTGTTTATCTTTAAATACGTTCGAACGTACTCGCAAGTACGTTTGAACGCATTTGCCTGTCAAGATATTTGTACTCCATATTGGCAGCATTGCTAATACTGTAGTACAGCCTTGTGGCATCTGGTCAATAGAGGGCGCCGCCTTACTCCTGATGCGAGTGTGTGTCTCTCTTTTTGTGTTAATAATGAGTAGATTTGTTTCACTCATCTCTGTTGTCTGATTTCTTGACATACCGGTACTTACCATACCGGTATGGGGTGCTCAGATCCCTCAATACAGCTCATCAATACAGTAATTAGGACCATAGGGTTATTTTAGGTCATTTGTTGCACCCATCATAACACAGCCAAGACCACAACAAGATGCATACTGTATTTGTGTAATTTAATGTGATCAAATCAAGACGAGAAGGTACGTATTGGCTGAATACTGACAAAAGTTTCAACACCACTTTCCAAGTCCCAAAGCTAATAGAGGAATCGTGTGTAGGAGGTTTGGAGGAGTCATTTCCAGATACTTAACGTTCCACTCCCTGTTTGCGCCCCTCGTTGAGAAAGGAAATTAACAGATGTCAAAGTGAAAGACAAAAACAGCTGGCACCTGCGTGGCAGGCGTTCTATGCAGTTCACAGGTCACAACAGTAGGGACACCTTCAAAATATGTTTCCCAAACAAAAAGGATGTCATTACAAGGGTATCCATATTTTGATACAGTCAGGGGGCAATTCAATGAACAGCATGCTTAAAATTGCGGTTGTAGACATGCACTGCTCAAGATAGTGTGTTAGTTACTATTTTGAGCTACATGAGGTTGGGAATTTTACTTCTTCGTTATGTTTTGCTAAGGTCACTGTAAAGTGAAAATGAACATGTCTTGACAATTTAACACAAAGCAGAGAAGAGTATTGTTAGCAACTCCACCAAACTTGAATGATTTAAAACACTGTCATTTTTTTTTTTAATTAAGCTTCAAAATTGTGAAAAATCAAAGTCATTGTCTCTGCTCTCAAATGCTTTGCAATGAATGCATGAAACCACATCATGCTTAACTATCAACTGTCAGTAAAATGCCACTGATGCGAAGTGGAAAATTCTTAAGCCTTCATATAACTCCATTTGAACCGCGAAAATAAGACCCTTTAAAGCCTCAGTGGCTGGAAGATAAATCAATGCTTCAGCGTGATAATGAGTCACTGCAGAGCAACCACGCAAGTGCAAAGCCCTGGTCCATACTGTCATAAATGGACTATTCCCCTCCCCACCATCCTCGCTGTTCTGCTTTTGTCTCTTTGACGTGCACAAACTCAGCCAACAATGAGATGCTCTAACGCACCGACGCCAGCAGACGATCTGAAGGGAAGACGTACCTTTGACTTGCAGGTAGCAAGTCAAAGGTAGCGAGCAAACCGCAATTGTGCTGGACAACCACTGATGCGTACGAGGGCGCTCAAGTTTTGGTATCGGAGGGTTCACTCATGCTTGGACTCAGTTGTGTCACGTGGCCCAATTTAGCACAGCTCCAAAAATCAGGAAAAATTGAAATGGTGCACGCTTAAAACTCCTGGGTTAAAACAACCCAGATTGGATGAAATATCCAACCCAGTCCTGGATCCAAAAGGAATCAAGCCAATGGAATTTCATACCCAGCACATTGACTCAGTACAGTCGGTCAACATTTTGATTCAACAAGGGGTACAACTACCTGCACTGATGAGTTAAAGTTACCAAGAAAGAGGTTACCAAGTTATGAGCATAACTTTGGTTAAAAATATAATACCAATTTTATTCAAAGAAGAAGCAACCTGACAGAGGTTAACAGAGTAAGTCACTCGCATATGGTTTGGCCCACTTTTGACACCAGGTGCCCTTCCTGATGCAACCCAACCATTTTTATCGAGGCTTGGGACCGGCAGTGGCCAGGAATCCGCATATGGTGTCAAGGTTCTTGCCAAGTGTCCCATATGGATGTTAGCGTTCAGCCAGGATTTGAATCCAATCCTCGTGTCTGAAGTCTGTTTTTTCCAGTTCGTCCTTGCAGTCTATTCAAGTTAATGTCAAGGGATACACAGGGTACACTCTGGGATTGCCACCAGCCAGTCGCAGAATTTACTCCGCTGTCAGTGCAAACCAAAAAAAACGATTTCTACAACTTCTGCGCTTCGCTGTTGACTTTTAGGTCCAAGCTCTTGTAGACCAGAGCGATGCTTGTGTTCTTATTGGCCGGAGCCTGAGTGAATGTTTGGCTCCTGTTGGCCTGCCTTCTCCCTGTCAGCACAGAGAGCAGCTTGGCACGGTAGTGGTCACCGGCCAGAAAGTACAAAATGGGGTCGATGCAGCTGTTGACGCTGGCGAGCGGCCTGGTGATTTTGTAGGTGAAGTTTACGATGTTGAGGGTGTGGCAATCCAGCTCCAGCACGCGGGCAGCGTAATAGATAGTGCGTGTGACGTGGAAGGGCACGAAGCTGATGGCGAAGACGATCAGCACCACCACGATGAGCTTGACGGACTTCTGCCGCGACGCCGGGTTGGCCGACAAGCCCCGTCTGGGCCGGCACAGGGTGTGCGCCATCTTACAGTAGCACGCCACGATGACCAAGAAGGGCACGCCAAACAGAAGCACCATGACGGTGATCAGGCTGAGTGCCTTGATGGGGTGGCAGATACCCATGTAGCGGTGCAAGCTGATGCAGGTGAGCAACAGGATGCTGCAGTAGAGGTTGGCGTAGAAGAGGAAGCGCACTATTTTGCACGCCGCCACGCCAAAGGGCCAGTGGCTGCGGTTGGCGTAGTAGTAAATGAGCGTGGGCAGCGACAGCACATACAGGAAGTCGGAGAGCGCCAGGTGGAACATGAAGATGGCGTTGGGGTTCCACGGACGCATCTTGACAAAGGTCCACAGTGCGGTGGCGTTGAGCACCAAGCCCGCCACGAAGACCAGCGTGTAGGAGACGGGTAGCAGGATGTACTTGAACTCCTCGTCAAAGCGGCAGCTGGCGTTGAAGATAGATGTGAACGTCACAGACTGGTTGAACGCCACAGGGATGGATGCCGCCGTTGCCATGGTGACCGCTGGTCTCCCGCATCCAGTCAGGAGGTGTTGAAGGAAACATCAGAGGATGAGGAGGCCCTGAGGCACATAAATGGAAAAAATTTTCACATAAATTGGATCGCATGTTATGATAGTTAACGAAAACTAAATACTGTACAACAGTACACCGTACTACAAAATAGTGTAACTACAACTAAAAGTGAAAAAATGTGTAGTGCTTTTTAAAAAAAACGAATAGCCTAAATTACAGCTTATTAATGTAATCTGCTGATGAAACTCAAAACTCAGCGGTCACTTACTCTGAAAAGTTCCTGTCTGAAACATCGCCGAGGATTGAGTCAGGACGTTCTTAAATTGAACTGACTGTCATCGCCTGGTGCCTTTGCCACTGCAACTTTCTCCATAGGCTATATTTCTCAACTTTTTAAACCCTCATTTGAGCACATCCAACAATATTGAAACATTTATAAAATAGCTGAGATGGCCTGATTCGAGTTACAGAGAAAAAAAAAAGTCTAAAAATCGACCTTACACTCCCCATCTGCACGTCTATCAGGACGAACGAACAAATCCCACTCACGTGATTGTAAACTACTGTATAGACTGTAATCACCTGTTCCATGTTTTGTCGCCACCACACCACTAAAACCGCACGTCCATTGAACATCTATTTGGTTGCGTCAATTAAAAAGCATGACAATATATATTTTTTAAAGATTTAATTGCTACACATCTCGTAACGGATCTTTTTGAGACTGCGAGTGAAACAATGAACTGCACATGATTGTACGTGGTAAAGAAGGCAACAACTTTAAAACAATGTACCACATATCCCATGTCGTGCTGCAATGTTAAAATAAGACTGTATACAGTAGCTGTCAGCCGAAAATTAAACTAAGTAACTTCTGATTATTAGTCTGAAGTGTCAATGCATGTTCCAAAAACGACTCCGAGATTGCTCCATGCATTCCACGTGTACTGTATACACACTTGGAGTGTGACAAATTTAACTCCAACTGTGAGTGTGTGTCCTAACGGAGCCCCTGAAGCAGATTCGTGTGTTCATCGTGTGCTGCTCAAGAGTTGTACCTGCCGAATTCGGGATGCGTGCTTATCACGAAGTCCTCTCCACTTGGGATGATGACTGGGGACCCCCACAGGCGCCCTGTGGTGCTCCTCGGCATAATCTTTTTTCTTTTTTTATTCCCGCCCCGATCACTGTTCCGTGCAAAGTCGGGGGTAGAAGTTCACAGGTCTGGCTGGAGTGCATTAGACACGGCTCAAAGTTATTTGGGTGGGTGGGTGTTTGTATGCGCGCGCTTGTTGGGGAGGAATGCGCTCCGTGCGCGCTCACGCGGGAACTTCGGGGGTGCTGATTGGACACATAAAGACCACGCAATTTAAACTCGCATTTTTTAATGAGCATTCAAGTGTTGGTTTCTTAACGTGCTCATTTGTTTTGTGATAGTTATTCCAAACTCGTCGTGTTTTACTTTAAAGAGGAACTCAGAGCAGTCTTGGTCAGTAACGACGACTGTGCTTAAAGTGGAATTTTCAGGTAACTGTAAACTCGTATTTATGTTTCTGACGAATTGCTTATTCGGAGTTTAAATTAACGGAAAATTGGACCAAGGGACCAAATGTTATGTGACCACAACTCAGAAAAATTACCTTGTACACTGTAAACTACAACCGCAAATATATTATGTAATAGTTGCTGAAGAGGCGTTCAAGTGCAATCAGACATATTGGAACTACGCAAGAAAAGATCTTTTTGGGATCATGTCCAGAGGTCATTTACTTGAAAAGGAACGTGAATGCAACAGCGTAAACACAGCTTACATTGTTGTGGTCTTCGTCTTTCAAGAACGTCCAGAAATCTTCCCAAAGGGGTTGAGTAATTCATTTGCACAGCTGCACCATTTCCGTCTTTCAAGTCTATTGTAAAGTATTATCCTTAGCGGGCCAGTTCATTTGGTTTCACCTGCTTTGTTCCCATCACGAGTCATGAGCCAGTAACGTATGATCGTAAAGACATAAATGTTTCACGACTCCTCTTAATAAGTTACCACAAACTGACTTCAAGTGTCTCATTGACCTACCTGAGATGACGACAAGCATAAAGGTCAACCAAAATTGAGCTCTATTATCTATGTAAAGACAGATTGGAGGCTGTAGGATGTGCGAGTGTACCTACTCAAGTGTCTGTTCAGTGTATACAGTGATGCACTGGTTCACAAAAACAGAGATGTGAGGAAATATTTTTTTTGTAATGTGTTTTTCCACTTCAGTGTATGTGCTGCCAAATAAAATAAAAAAAAATTTAATAAAATAGCGGGGTGGGCCTGATTCGAGTGACAGAGAAAAAAAAAAGTCTAAAAATCGCCCTGACACTCCCCATCTGCACGTCTATCAGGACGAACGAACAAATCCCACTCACGTGATTGTAAACTACTGTATAGACTGTAATCACCTGTTCCATGTTTTGTCGCCACCACACCACTAAAACCGCACGTCCATTGAACATCTATTTGGTTGCGTCAATTAAAAAGCATGACAATATATATTTTTTAAAGATTTAATTGCTACACATCTCGTAACGGATCTTTTTGAGACTGCGAGTGAAACAATGAACTGCACATGATTGTACGTGGTAAAGAAGGCAACAACTTTAAAACAATGTACCACATATCCCATGTCGTGCTGCAATGTTAAAATAAGACTGTATACAGTAGCTGTCAGCCGAAAATTAAACTAAGTAACTTCTGATTATTAGTCTGAAGTGTCAATGCATGTTCCAAAAACGACTCCGAGATTGCTCCATGCATTCCACGTGTACTGTATACACACTTGGAGTGTGACAAATTTAACTCCAACTGTGAGTGTGTGTCCTAACGGAGCCCCTGAAGCAGATTCGTGTGTTCATCGTGTGCTGCTCAAGAGTTGTACCTGCCGAATTCGGGATGCGTGCTTATCACGAAGTCCTCTCCACTTGGGATGATGACTGGGGACCCCCACAGGCGCCCTGTGGTGCTCCTCGGCATAATCTTTTTTCTTTTTTTATTCCCGCCCCGATCACTGTTCCGTGCAAAGTCGGGGGTAGAAGTTCACAGGTCTGGCTGGAGTGCATTAGACACGGCTCAAAGTTATTTGGGTGGGTGGGTGTTTGTATGCGCGCGCTTGTTGGGGAGGAATGCGCTCCGTGCTCGCTCACGCGGGAACTTCGGGGGTGCTGATTGGACACATAAAGACCACGCAATTTAAACTCGCATTTTTAATGAGCATTCAAGTGTTGGTTTATTAACGTCCTCATTGGTTATGCGGTAGTTATTCCAAACTCGTCGTGTTTTACTTTAAAGAGGAACTCAGAGCAGTCTTGGTCAGTCACGACGACTGCTTAAAGTGGAATTTTCGGGTAACTGTAAACTCGTATTTATGTTTCTGACGAATTGCTAATTCGGAGTTTAAATTAACGGAAAATTGGACACTGGCATAGAGTACGTTTTATTCCGGGGACCAAATGTTATGGGACCACAACTCAGAAAAATTACCGTGTACACTGTAAACTACAACCGCAAATATATTATGTAATAGTTGCTGGAGAGGCGTTCAAGTGCAATCAGACATATTGGAACTACGCAAGAAAAGATCTTTTTGGGATCATGTCCAGAGGTCATTTACTTGAAAAGGAACGTGAATGCAACAGCGTAAACACAGCTTACATTGTTGTGGTCTTCGTCTTTCAAGAACGTCCAGAAATCTTCCCAAAGGGGTTGAGTAATTCATTTGCACAGCTGCACCATTTCCGTCTTTCAAGTCTATTGTAAAGTATGTCCTTAGCGGGCCAGTTCATTTGGTTTCACCTGCTTTGTTCCCATCACGAGTCATGAGCCAGTAACGTATGATCGTAAAGACATAAATGTTTCACGACTCCTCTTAATAAGTTACCACAAACTGACTTCAAGTGTCTCATTGACCTACCTGAGATGACGACAAGCATAAAGGTCAACCAAAATTGAGCTCTATTATCTATGTAAAGACAGATTGGAGGCTGTAGGATGTGCGAGTGTACCTACTCAAGTGTCTGTTCAGTGTATACAGTGATGCACTGGTTCACAAAAACAGAGATGTGAGGAAATATTTTTTTTGTAATGTGTTTTTCCACTTCAGTGTATGTGCTGCCAAATAAAATAAAATCCCGTCCAGGTGATGACTTCATGGACAAAGCAGCTGGATGTCAGTAAACAGACAAGATTTGTTTGGATGTGCCTTAATCAGTAACTACAGCAGCAAAATGCACACAGTCACTGTCACACCGGGAATATGTTGAGAGTTAATGTGGGGAAACGGTAGTGTCGTCTTATTTTGCAGCCAGACAAAAAAATAACACACAAAAAAAATATATATATACAATCGAGACAAGAAAATTGAGTTGCCTGGTGCTGTGCGATTGTGTGTTTTGCTCACTCAAATGGAAGAAACATTATCTTCTGTCCTTACTGGCCAACTGTAAAGACAGACAAATGGAATTGCTTGCAGAAGGTCATCAAATGCACTTTACTTGTGGACAGACAGCGGACACAAGTGCTGATTAAGTGACATGATAGAAAAAGTACGAGACGGTAAACGGAGCTGAAATCGACTTGACTACGTATGTATTGTATGGATTGGATACCACTATAGAGCTTTATTTGTGGGCTTTTTTACAAGGTTGGACCCAGGCTCAACAGAAGCAGAAAGTAGATTCGGTGAGGGGAGAGTGGATGAAAAGTAAACACTTGCCTTCAGGTTATGCAGACAAAATGAATCAGACGGAATTCCATCCATCCATTTTCAAATCTGCTTATCCTCACAAGTGTTGCGGGGCGTGCTGGAGCCCATCCCAGCTGACTTTGTGCCAAAGCATTAAAAAAAACAGTTTTGACACCATCTCGCAGTATCTTGGTGACAAGGAACTATGTTGAAATGAGTCGAGGAGCTTCATTTAGACATAAGTAGTGCTTTGCTGCCAACTTGTGGCACATATAGTCAATGGTTGATGGGTGAGATTTACCCAAAAACTTTCACCAGGTCATCCTTAAAGTAA